ACATATAAATAGCACCACACACGCATTATGCGTACCTGATTTTGGCTAGCCTGACAGGGCTGCGGAGGTCTAGGCGTCCACCCAGCATCAAGTCAAACGAATGTACGGTGTCATCTCCACCTGTGGGCAGCCATCTCTGTGATGTTCATAACCGTGAATGTGACCAGTGCACACACACGCACACACGCATGCACGCGTGTCCACGCACGCACACACGCACACACACACACACACACACACACACACACACACACACACACACACACACACATACATACACACACATACACACACACATGTAGCAACAAAGGCTTGATCAACCACACAAGTATGTGCCTCTGCCTGACTGAAAAGGTGCATCTTGAAGGTTTACACACTTCAACAATAGATAGCTGGTCCTTGCAGCAGGAGCAAGACTCAGTGGTGGATCCAGCGATCTCTACAGGGGGTGGGGGTTCCAGTATAGTCAAAACTTAACAGCTGATACATGTACACAGACACGCATATGGTTGCCAGTAGTACATTTACGAAATTTAGGGGGTTCCACTGACCCCCTGGAACCCCTCCTGGACCCGCCCCTTGAGTCTGACTTCATACTAAGAACTACAAGTAGCACTTGTACTACCATACTGACAAGGCATTGGCTTGAGACTAACATAATACAGACAGAGGAAAGGGCATAATTAGGACGCTGAGACATTGGTGGTGATCTCTTAACATGGTGGCTATTCTGTGTCAGTTAGTCGGCAGGCCGCGTAAGCTCAAACATTTACAACAGCCACCTTCTTTATTTTTTAGGAAATTTTTGAAATTGCACCTTCTTTATGCAAAAAAAAACAGACAAATGGATCACAAATGGACGGATTGATGGATGTGCACGTGAGCAGATGAACATAAGGAGAAGGCACAAACAGACAGGCAGACAGACAGACAGACAGACAGACAGACAGACTGACAGACAGACAGACAGACAGACAGACAGACAGACAGACAGACAGACAGACAGACAGGCAGACAGACAGGCAGATAAACAGACAGACAGACAGACAAACAAACAAACAGGCGAGTGCACACGTCTTACCGCCGTGTCGATGTGATAGAGCTTTAGACCGGAGCAGTCACCATCGGGAATGCTGTTGCAAACCAGATCCAACAACGACTGAAGACTCTCATGTCCCTTAACCTGGGCATGGCACAGTATGGCATCAAGAGCATGTACAAGAAAGCAAACGTATGTATGCTCGTACACGAACAGGATGCTTCATATTTACAGCACTGCTCAATGAAATCAAATCAAGTGAGAGAATGCCACGCCGCCCGCTGTGCAGTATCAGACCTGCAAACACTCTAATGTGAAATGGTGCAGAGCGGAACAACTTGACTCATGCGATCGGATTTCATTGATCCGCACTGTAACTCTTGTAACATGCGCCAAATTAGTTTTATTTTATTTTTACTGGGAACACAGCTCTACCAAAATACATGTGGAGACAAATACAAACTGTGACAAGACACAGGGGATGAAGGGACGACGTGCCAATGTACAGGGAGCAACTCAACCGACCAGAGGTCTCGGCGTTAGCGTTGAAAGGTTTTCAGATAGGCTCCAGATAGGCCCTACAATGCCACCCGCACAGCTGTGTATGATCCTGCAGCTGACATTGCGGAACACGCTTACCAATGGAACTACATCAGTAGTTCCACCAAACAATGAAGTCAGCCTCTCATAAGCTGCTCGAGCCGCTCTAATCAGTGAGAAATGCAGAATCATATCCAGACAGAGAGCCAAGACAGTAAGCAGAATGACAATAAGACGACAATCACCATGGATTGTATTCCACGACATACTCACCTTCAGAGAAAGTGTGTTTGGTATGAGAGTGCTGGACACGAAGAGCTGAGTGTAACCATCGGATGCCATGGTGATCCGATGCACTCCACCCGGGACTTGCAGCCACTGATGATGTCACAGTAGCACGCGCGTAGGTTTATGTCCAGACAACAGTGACGATCTGAGACTTTGGTCTAGACAAGGTTGAAATGGCTGATGGACGAGACGTTACCAATTCGAGCAGAACCAACTGGACAGCGGGATCCAATCAATCATCAGACTGCACTTGGCCAGGGTGTTTGGTTGGCGTGTGATGCCTGCGAGTACTGCCAGTGTGGTGTGTGTTGAATCAGCTGCTGGCGCTGGGAGTAGTGACTAATGGAGGAAAGACATACATAAACATGTAGGTGCATACATGCACATACACACCATGTACACACACACACACACACACACACACACACACACACACACACACACACACACACACACAGACCATTCCATTTTACATGCAGAATGGCCCAAGAGAAGGGAATTATTCGGGCTAGCTGCTGCACCAATGCACCAATGTCAGAGGGCAAGTGTCTGGTAACTCTGCTTGAGAGTAACCTGTACATGCTAATACTTGTGTGATGCTAACAGCAGTGATGTGGATTCGGCTTGCTTATGTCTTGTATCAGTATTCTTGAGCGCAGACGCATGAAGGCACTTGGTGAAAGGCATTCCGAACTTTTGAACCTAGCTTTGTTGGTATACCCCCTCTTGACCATTCCTGTGACAGTTTTCACCTTTGTGTTACTTCTCACCTTATACATGTTACTATCTCGCGCTATTGCGCGCGCATCTTCTATCATATAAACTCATTTGTTCATTGAAAGATGATTCTTCACTATCAGTTCATCAGTCTGTTACAATTCCTGCATCCTAGTTGTTTCGATTTGTGTTCTCCTTTCGCTCCTTTCTGCCGTGCACTCCCTCTTTCCTTCCCTCATGACAATTCCCCCACCCCTCTGACATCGTATTCTTTTGGACACTCCCTTTCATAGGCATCCATTTGCCTTTGGAGGATCCTTGCAATTAAATGGTCAGTACCAACAAACTCGACTGTGCACGCATGAAGTATATGGATGTACAGTGCTGCTCAATGGGCGCTTTCGATTACACGCATTTCGGTCAATTCTAGAATTAGTTATTGTTGATGCACAGTTCGATTACACAAAAAGTGACAAATTCCGTCGTTAGAATTGATTTTATCCTATTCCGTCGAATCCATCAATTCTGAAGAGAAGGCGGAATTTCTCTAATTCTGGCGCCAGAATTGCACTGTCGGTGTGTTACCGGTTTGGTCATGACTCAGGCGCGCGAAGAGCCTCCCTGGCCGGCGTGCGCGCGATCGATCGCGAGGGTGTACGTGATCTCTTTTTGCGATTCATCAATTTCGTTTGTGACATGACATGAATAAAATGCGTTGTGAATTCCAGTCGTTCGTTTACAAGGCCGGAATACGCTCATTCTGGTCATTCCAGAATTTAAAAAAACCAGTTCCAGAATTGTGTTAAAGGGGAAGTATACCCTAAAATCAAATTTTCACCAGTTGTAGTCTTCTGGGTGCTGAGTCGAATGGTCTTGGTCCGAGGAAGCTGCGACGCTCCCTTCCTACTTGAATCCCAATCGAACTCGCGCACTTCCACCAAAACTGGGTGACTGCGCCCTACTAGATGGGGATTTGTATGCAAAATGTCACTAAAAGCGCCATTTCGTTCCTATAAAAGCACGGATGACCGCGATCGGCCCATATGTTGTAGTCTTTTGGACGCTGAGTCGACTGGTGTTGGTCCGAAAAGGCTGCGATGCAGCGTTCCTCCTTTATTCCCAATCGAACATGGTTGAACAAGTGGTCACGTGCTCCTGGGTGCCCAAATCACCTGGTCACCACGCCAGCAGGCGACAACTTTCACACCAAGGTTCGAGTTCAACTCGAGTGACAGGACTGCACCCAAAAGAGGTCAAACAGGCTAGTAAGTTGTACCCTGCAGGCACGGTGACCAGGTGACTGGTGTACGCAGGAGCACGTGACCGCTTGTTCAACCATGTTCGATTGGGAATAAAGGAGGAACGCTGCATCGCAGCCTTTTCGGACCAAAACCAGTCGACTCAGCGTCCAAAAGACTACAACATATGGGCCAATCGCGGTCATCCGTGCTTTTATAAGAACGAAATGGCGCTTTTAGTGACATTTTGCATACAAATCCCCATCTAGTAGGGCGCAGTCACCCAGTTTCGGTGGAAGCGCGCGAGTTCGATTGGGAATAAAGGAGGAAGGGAGCGTCTCAGCTTCCTCGGACCAAGACAATTCGACTCAGCACCCCGAAGACTACAACTGGTGAAAATTTGATTTTAGGGTATACTTCCCCTTTAATTAACGTGTAATCGAAAGCGCCCAATGAAGTCCAGTCGGGTCACTCAAGAGTAGTTTGCGCCTTGCATCATTCCGTAGCCCAGTGTTTGCAGGTCTAGGGCTGCGCGACGCCCGGCGCGTACTTGAGTGACTCGACTGGATTCCATTGAACAGTACAGTAGTGTAGATGCGCGCCTAACACGCAAACAAAACAAAACAAAAACAAGACACTCGACGATGAACGAACAAGAACACCGAACCGACGTTTCCTACGATCACGAACCACGTTCATGCTTCGCGTGCTGCCATGCATGCAAGAATCGGAAAGATTGGAGCGATTGTGCGTCTATGCATGTTTCCTATTACACACATGTTCTGAGGACCACAAACAAATCCACTCAAGAGTCATTACCATGATTACCCACCCCGTTGTCCCTACAACGAAAGCGACGAGAAGATCTGCTATCAAAGCCTCTACTAAGCTCTAGTCTAGGTTCGATACCCTCCAACAGGAAGCTAGGCAGCTAGGGACGCCAATTCATTGTTTAGAATATTTCCTGCAAGTCCCCGAGCGCGAATCCACCCTTCGCTAGATCGCTAGCATAGTCAACAACACACAACTATCACTTACCGAGCACGTGTCGATTTGTTCGACTCCGCTAGCCAAATTCGAGACCAGGTGCAATGGCGAATCCTCCTCTCTTCCTCCGTCAGGAACCGCACAGAGCGCTCTACGGCCGTGGACGCTCGAACAACGAGCACCACGAAGATAATGAATGGCCGGAGTGGGAGAGAGAGAGATGAGCGGAGGCTAGCCTAGCCGTGCGTGGCTCATCCGATAACGGACGGTATGACACTGCGCTTTCTCAGCTTCTTTTACCCGCGACCCTGCGTTCTTTTCTAGGTAACTCTCCCACTCAGTACCACCGCCACGCGGATACCGGTATGCTCTCGCCGCAGTGCAAGGCCGATACTGGAAAGGGCGTCGATGATCGCAGCGCCTCCAGAGGCGGTAGGCCAGGCGCTGAACTGTAAACTATGCAGTGCCGTGTTCATGGTGTTAGCTTGACGACTCCGGGGCCGGCATCCGTGATCATGTTATCATGGTTATCGCCCCAAGAGCATGCTAAAAAAAGTCTGTCATCCGTCACTCCGACTCGGAGTCTCGTGATTTTCTCAATTTTCAGTCACCCCAAGAGTAAACCGGTTGGTTTTAGTCACGTACAAACTGCAACTCTGCACTGAAATCCGATCGGGAGTGTCAGGTGTAGGACTTCACAGCGGACGACCTGACCGTGGTGACATTGACTGCACTAAGCGGATCGGATTTTACTGAGCTGCTGCCGCGCTGAGTGAGCAATCATGGCCATGGCAACAGAAGATTATTATTATTGGCGTGCAAATAACGCTGAGTAATTACACGAATGCATAAAACCAGCATTTGCTTCCGGGAAGGATTCACAAACATAAGACAGAAACACCATGGCTCAATGTAACTGCACATACGAAAAGCAGCTTCTATTGTCAAGTTCGAGTGGCAATGTCAGAAAGACTCCCCCAACAGAAGATACGCTGGTCTATCATCATGTGACACCATAACAGCAGTCATGTACTGTTGGATTGCCAAAGTGAAATCGATGCGGCGATGCATGGCTGGCTGAAAAAGCACTGCGTGTTCACCTAATACTAGTACATTGAAACCTGTAATGGCGACCACTCGGATATGGCGACCACTCGACCATGGCGACCACTTTTCCTTGTCACGGACGCATTCACATTCAAAACACCTCGGATAAGGCGACCACTCGCTCAACGCGACTGGCGACCACCCACCCGCGACCGCTTTGTACAGTGCTAGTCATGTAAATGACTGTATGCATTGCATGGTGCACCAGGCATGGTAGATCTACACATCAGTGCAGGAAGTGTAGATGTACATGGTCATGGTGCACATACACGACATTTGACAGGTACTAGGTCTGAGGACCCCAGGCACATGAGTCGTGCTAGAGTACAGTAAGATCGGGCGCCGAAGAACACCTCGCCGAAGAACACCCAGGCTGGAAAACCGGCAAAATTTAAGAACAGTCCAGGCTAGAATTATCAGATTTAAGAACACTTTTAAAATTTGGAATTTCCAAGTTGCGAATTTACACGTAGATCTACATTGTACATGTATGGGAGGTGAGTGCATGTCATGTACACGTGTAAACAGTAACTGCTACATCATCAGTACATGTACAGTCATTCCCATTTAATATTTACGACACCCACTAGTTTAGAAGTACTACATTGCACGACATGTACATGACAAACGTCATGACGTCACTCGACTCGCCGCGCGCGCGTGTGAATAAGAACGGTCTGGCTAGAATCAAAATTTTAAGAACTTTCCTAGGCTGCGCTCGAGCCCCTGCGTTCTTCGGCGCCCGATCTTACTGTAGCATAGGTGTGTGGCACTGTGTGCACTGACTGTGCACAGTGCACACAGTGCCACACACCTATGATGTGATGCACTGATCAAAATGATGTACCATATGGTCACGTGACCCACTGAACCTGGATAAGAAGACCACCTGGCCACGGCGACCACTTTGTCTCGTCCCTTGAGGAGTCGCCTTATATTCACTGTACTAATACTAATAGTGTCATAACACTTACCAGCGGATCTACCATAGATCATGCACAATCATGTACATGTAGATCTACATAATGACGTCACACTGTCATGATTATTGTCAAGAGTAGATAAACAAGAGTGTGCAACTCGCGGATTGGTTGGCCCACGGCGGAATTTTTTGTTGACGTAATCTTTTCGACGACGCACGCGCTGCGAGCCTTTTGGAGAGGTTTCCCTCGTGCACTTGGCCGGGCTTTACACTACAAGGTCTGTGCCCAGCACGTGCTCTCACACTGCTCTGCGGCAAAGTCCGCGTTTCTCTGAAAAAAGGTGACGTCAACAAAAAATTCCGCCGTGGGCGGGAGTATCTGCAGATTGTGCAGGAGAGATCCGGAGTTGCACACTCTTGTTTATCTACTCTTGTTATTGTATACTACAGTACCAGCCAGGGAGTAGTAAAATACAGTATTTTACTACTCCCTGGTACCAGCTATACAGTACCAGCCCTGTAGATACATGTACATGTACATGACATTGTAAGCGTCAGTCACTGTCTGAGTACTGTCTGTAGAGTACGTGTACATCTACCACTGATCTTACATACACTGCTGGCCGAAATCCGACCCCCTAGCGTCTCGTACGAATCGCTAACGCGGCTAGCGCACCGCTACAGGGTCGGATTTCAGTTGCCAGCAGTGTAGTTACCATGGTTACAGTCTTACAGCCCAGTACTGCAGTGGTACCCGGTGGCGGTGTAGACTAGACTATAGTCTGTTTCAAAAAGATTTACAATCAGGTTTGGGTCTTAAAAAGTATGAAGATAAGGGAAATTTGGACAACAAAGTACATAGAATGGCTTGTTAGGACACGGCAAATTGTTCTGTGAAGGTTTCGGAACAATTGGACCAACCGTTAAGGAGTTAGAATTTCGGCCAGGTTTCCGGCCTTTTCCCATGGTTTACAATTTGCCCAGGAAGCCAGTATCGATTTTTTATCAAAACCCACGATTTCTCCTTTCCTTTTTGGCCTTGTGGTTATGAATGCTGTCTGCTGACCATGAAGTTGTGAGTTCAAATCCCAACCTATCCTCAAGTCAAACTTTTTTTTCATTGTTTTGGTGATCAAGCTGGTACAAGACAAAGAAGATGGCTGCACCAAACGACTTGTTGTTGGAGGTCGCGCTTCCTGCCGAACTGACTGACACTTGACTGGCTCACGCCATGTGAACACACCCACAACACTGCAATGGTGTGAGTGAATATGGAAGTCATCGCGCTGTAGCTTTTCGAGATTTATTTTTAGTATTTCAAGATCGCCAATTTATTTGAATTTAGCAGTCAACGCCGTCTTCTATCAGCGTTCACAAGCGTCTGTTTTTCTCAAAATGTCGTCGAAGTCACACGGATAGCTTTGCCAAGTCATGGCCTTGGGAATGAGTCCGTGTCGATGTCGTTTTCGTCACCGTGACGGTGAGTGAATTGCATCGCAGCTCAAAGAAACTATTTTGGTCACAAAACGGATTGGGACACATGCCGCTCGTCAACATTTACAACACTTTCGTTTCGACATGTCCTCTCTGACTCCATTATCGATACGAAGAAGAACTCGTTTGTTGTAAACCAGACGTACGTCCATGACTGTGTCAATTCGTCAACGTGAGTGAGTTGTCATTTTTCCTGCTTTCGCGCGGAATATTTCTTCGAGTTCACAGTGAGTTTTTCCAGGCAGCGCTCGAGTTCGCGCTCATACGGTAAGACGCCAAACTCCGCGGGCGATCGCCAGGGTTGTAAATCTTTTTGAAACGGACTGTAGAGACAGTGAATTTGGTGCGCCGCCCTGCATGCGTAAATCACTGATCAACAGTCTGTCGTGCTTGGTGAAATCTGATAATTAATGATTATAATGTTGTCGTACAGTCGGATATTACCGGTATACCGCCCAGCACGGCTACATATTACAGTATAATGCTGATTGTTAGTTCATGAGTCATCGTCAAGGGATGTCCAATGCCACCGGGCACATGAAAACGAGATAATGACCCGAAGACAACTCCACACTGATTTGCCCGGCAATCTGCACGCCAGGGAGTACTAAGAAACCGTTTTTTTAGTACACCCCGCTGCACACCATTTCCTCAGCTCATAACCAGGAGTCGTATTTTTACAACTCCCTCTTGATGTTATCATCCAACACAAGGCGTGAGTACTGATTCAACTAACTTCTGATAAAGATCATATTATCAAAAATTTGAATATTCAAGCGGCGAAAGCAGGCGTAATCAAAGTTCAAAACCGATAAAGATAAGCTCCAATGCACAGAAAGCAGCTCATTGTGAAGAGTGTGAAGAGGATCAGGAATAACTAGCATCTGCCGTATATGAGTACAGTCAGACCTCGCTTAACCGCACACATTCGTTGTCCACAAAAAATATCCAGATAGTCGAACACACGTACTGTATGTATGCATGACATATGCTGTAAATCGGTGACCAGTGATTTTCATCCGGATGGCGAGGGATCCGGATAAAAGAGGACCGGATAAGCGAGGTCAGACTGTAGTGGCCAACATCTGACAGGTCAAGATGAGGGGAAAGGGAGGGGGGGGGGGGGGAGAATCAGACAGGTTGTTGCCGGTAATGGGTGAACGGTGGCGAAGCAGCAGAGCAGCACAGCACATCTACAGTGCAGAAAAACCTATCAAGGCGACCACTCGGATCAGGCGCCCACCTGTGCAAGAAGACCACTGACACCAGGACTAAGGGAGGGGGGGGGGGGAGGAGATGATAGCAAGTAATAATTATTATCATTGGCATCAGGGTGCTGGCCGAATGCTGAACTGAACAGGGTCACAGCTGTGTACTACACTCACACCATATACGGCTGCACGATGTCATCTCACATGCTATACCGTTGCATGATGTCATCAGATATGCGGGTCGCCATAGTCACGACCAATCACGTGCCGTTCGGCCTTGCGATAGTACCAGAACTGCGGCTCGACGCACGGATCACAGTCAAACGCCGCCGCACTGCCTTTCGTATGCGTCTCGTCTGGCCCCGCCTGTGCCTGGGACTCCTCACTGCTAGCGGTTATATCGTGTTTGTCCGGCTTTGGACAGACGGTTGGTTTGCACTTGCCTGACGCGTAATGTAACTGAAGAGCATAACGACTGTAAACAAAGACACAGAGAGAGAGAAAGAGAGAGAGAGAGAGAGAGAAAGAAAGAGAGAGAGAGAGAGAGAGAGAGAGAGAGAGAGAGAGAGAGAGAGAGAGAGAGAGAGAGAGAGAGAGAGAGAGAGAGAGAGAGAGAGAGAGAGAGAGAGAGAGAGAGAGGGAGGGAGGGAGGGAGGGAGGGAGGGAGGGAGGGAGGGAGGGAGGGAGGGAGGGAGAGAGAGAGAGAGAGAGAGAGAGAGAGAGAGAGAGAGAGAGAGAGAGAGAGAGAGAGAGAGAGAGAGAGAGAGAGAGAGAGAGAGAGAGAGAGAGAGAGAGAGAGACACAGACAGACAGAGACAGACAGAGACAGACAGAGACAGACAGAGACAGACAGAGACAGACAGAGACAGACAGAGACAGACAGAGACAAACAGAGACAGACAGAGAGATACACACACAAACACATACACACACAGTGACACATGCACAAAGGCAGCATACATCAAGAAAGACAGGAACCAGTTCAATAAACACTTTTACTAGGATCTCAAGACTTCCCTGTAGACAGTTTCATCGAGCACATGACACCGCCAACAGTGGGGGTCTCTCGGAAACAAAATTTAACAGAAAATAGATGGTATGGTTCGCGTCAGAGTCGGTCAGAATGATGTTTTGACCTCAATAGGATACACCCGGCCCGGCGTCAGAGATACAGGCTCAGACACGGCTCCTTAAGTTGTGGGAGACAAACTGATAGTAATTGACCAGACCCACGACAAAGTAGCCAAAGACCAAAAAAATCAATCAGTTTAACCCATGTAAAACAGCTTTAACTCTATATAGAAGAGATGACAATCATAGGGGTTGCGACTTCGGCGATGATTGTTAGGAAAGGGTTTGCTCCTTACACTGGAGCTCACTGGAGAGCAGTATATAAGTAATGCTCCTCAGGCACAATCTTCCTTCGGCTTCTCAAGCTCAACTGATGAGGGGTTCCCCGAAACACTGTGTATTGAGCAGGGAGTGGTGCTTTCTTGCAGGTTTGCCGAGTCGAAGGTTCGATGGACTTCTCGTGTGCTCTGGATGGCAGTCGTGAGTCAGTCAAGTGTCAAGTCAAGTTGGCGGAGTAGCGCGAGCTCCAGTGTGGGGAGCAAACCCTTTTAGAACAGATGAACCCTGGTAGAACAGTTACTAGTATTCCATTTTGGACCAAGTGCAGAAAATTGGATCATTGCTCCGTTTTGATCATCTTCACCTGCCAGGTCGTTGTGGGTAGTGAGTGGTGTTGTGTGGAAGATAGTTAAAGAAACCCAGACTGCAAACTAGGACAACTGTGACAAGATGGGTGTCTCCCAGAGGTGTGTGTGTGTGGGGGGGGGGGGACTAGACCATATACGCCGGGTGTGGAGTTACTTATAAAGAAGACATACGGACTGCTTGATTTGTTGGGTGGTGTGAAGTGATGCAGTTCACCGTGAAACACCAACGCATCGCCGGGCTTCAGGGGCATTGGAACCACCTGTGCATGGAGTGACATGCATAGAGCATGGTACACACATCAGGGGATCAGGTTAAGATTTCAGTCACAACAACAGATGATTATGTGGCTAGTTATCTACTGCATGGTCGTTCAGCCGCTGCCATCTAATAAGATGGCAGCAACTTTACTGGTAAATCACAAATTTACACTTTACAGGTTTTGATTTATGAACTCGGTGTGGTTTCAGGTGGATCCTTTCGAATCGAGTAGAATCAAGTAGGTGACCTTAGGTAAATCGATGCTTGGGAGTCCCGACCGAACGTGAAGACCAGCACTGCACTCTTGCATGCACCAGGGAGCAGTACGCTACATACTCACAGGTATAGAGGGGCTTCACATCTACTGTAAAACCGGAAAGTTTAACGACCAAAAATGTGGGGAAGACAAGCGCAACGAAAATGAGCACAAGCTACAGTCCCAATGGAACAAAGAATGTTGATTGTAACTGGACTATGACGAGACCAGTAGGATATTTGACAAAGCGGTCTAACTACAATTCGAAGCAGCAAAGCAGCACACCACCCAACTTGGGCTGTCGGTTAGCGCTACGGAGATGGGCCAAAAATGCTTTAAAGGGGAAGTATACCCTAAAATCAAATTTTCACCAATTGTAGTTTTCGGGGTGCTGAGTCGAATGGTCTTGGTCCGAGGAAGCTCAGACGCTCCCTTCCTCCTTTATTCCCAATCGAACTCGCGCACTTCCACCGAAACTGGGTGACTGCGCCCTACTAGATGGGGATTTGTATGAAAAATGTCACTAAAAGCGCCATTTCGTTCTTATAAAAGCACGGGTGACCGCCATTGGCCCATATGTTGTAGTCTTTTGGACGCTGAGTCGACTGGTTTTGGTCCGAAAAGGCTGCGATGCAGCGTTCCTCCTTTATTCCCAATCGAACATGGTTGAACAAGCGGTCACGTGCTCCTGCGTACACCAGTCAGCTGGTCACCGTGCCTGCAGGGTACAACTTACTAGCCTGTTTGACCTTTTTTGGGTGCAGTCCTGTCACTCGAGTTGAACTCGAGTTGAACCTTGGTGTGAAAGTTGTCGCCTGCTGGCGTGGTGACCAGGTGATTTGGGCACCCAGGAGCACGTGACCGCTTGTTCAATCATGTTCGATTGGGAATAAAGGAGGAACGCTGCATCGCAGCCTTTTCGGACCAAAACCAGTCGACTCAGCGTCCAAAAGACTACAACATATGGGCCAATCGCGGTCATCCGTGTTTCTATAAGAACGGAATGGCGCTTTTAGTGACATTTTGCATACAAATCCCCATCTAGTAGGGCGCAGTCACCCAGTTTCGGTGGAAGTGCGCGAGTTCGATTGGGATTCAAGTAGGAAGGGAACGTCGCAGCTTCCTCGGACCAAGACCATTCGACTCAGCACCCAGAGGACTACAACTGGTGAAAATTTGATTTTAGGGTATACTTCCCCTTTAACATTTTTGAACGTTTTTGTAGTTTTGGCATGATAACGTGCAGAAAGTTTAACGATGGCTACCTGGCCACGCATCTGTATGCGTATCTTTACACAGACATCTCAAACTGGGTTCGCGATAACGTTTCTTCAAATAACGAAAAACACTGGTCGTTAAAATATTTAAGTTTTAACGACCATATTTTTTCGTTAAAAGACTTTGTGACTCGTAAGACTTTCCGGCTTTACAGTATTTAATGTGACTAAAGCTGGGTAGAAAGTGATTAGGGTATGTGGACAGTGGAATGAAGCTGTCACTGCTGTCACTGCTGCTGCACAGTAGAGCAGACCACAGCTACCGTACCGTTTTCTCATCCGGTGTCTTGGTGAGGCTGTACAGCTTGTGGTTGCCGTTGAGAGACTTGTGTTCGTCAACACCGTGTGTATGAGTAGCTGGCACGACGTGCATGCTACACGTAACACACATGCACACACACACACACACACACATATATATATACACACACACACATACACACACACATACACACACACACACACACACACACACACACACACACACACATACCATTGGACCATTGGACGCCCATCGCCGGAGGCGATGATAGCGATGCTACAGCAGAAGCCATAGCACATTGTGCTGGGATTGCACCATTCAACAGCTTGCAAGGCTGAAGAATTGACCGCCACTATTCAGCCTGGTCTACACCACACAGCTATGAAGTGGCTTTTTCTGGCCAGTGAATCCCTACTTTTTGGTCTTTTTAATTTTTTTCATTTTTTTCTTCTTTTTTTTTTCCCGCACACACATCACACCACATACTCCGGCATGCACTGGCTGTTGGTAACCACCCAGGAGAATGAAAGAAAAGTCAGGAGGAGTCTGAGAAAGAGAAGAAAGACGTGTGTGACCATAATCGTCGGGAATCGAACCCGCAACCTCTCGATTGGAAATCGCTGCACATACCACTGCACCATATGGGACACACACACATACACACACACACACACACACACACACACACACACAAACACACATATACAAGTAGCAGTTACACAATAAACCAGAGGACCAAGGGTCACGCTGCGAGTTTCACACACATTCCATTGTGCAATCATTACGCAGCATCAATGATTGATAACGCCACATGCAGCTCCAGAAAGCTACATTATAATAGACTGTAAAAACGGTGGTCTACACACGCTATCAGACAACATTCACTTCCCTAGTATACACCGCAAGAGTCTAAAGCTAATAGGCCATTCACACGATGTGCAAACTCACTTTTATGGTACAGGGTCCAAGAATAGTTACTCGGATACGATAAACTTGGACACAAGAGTGCAACTGATTTTTTTATCTTGGCCGAGGCCCTTTTGCTCGCGATTATCTTTGCACGCCAGCAAAAGTGTCGGTTGTTGAAAGTGCGTACTGCAAATGTAGTGTTTGAACAAAGGAAAATTCAAAATTTAACGTTTCCCGGCACTTTCAGGAGGTCACTATGGATACATTGACGTGTGCAAAGTTTTCCCAGCACCGTGTGAACTGGATCACGGTTTGCCAGTGTTATCTTGATCACACACGTGCAAGTGTTTACACGTCGTGTGAATGGCCTATAAACGGTTTTCAAATCCTTCCTGGCTGAGTTTAACGGCCAATAATAGCCTTATCGCCACAGAACCGTCTTCTACTTGCACTAGGAATTTCTTCTCCGTGATCGCTCAACATACGTGTACAGCATTCAAAATTAGCACAATGCTTCTGAGTCAGATGCTACCCTTGGGAACCACTCAGTGTGATGCCTTAGCTGCTACACAAAGCATAGCAAACAAAAATATGTCTGTTTGTACGGAATACTACAGGTACTGAAAGTCTGAAAGAGTTGATGTCGTCATCTTCTTCCAGCTGGTCTCAAAATTTATGTACAGTGAAACCTCTCTAAGACGACCGCTCAAGGGACTTTCAAAACGTGGTCTCTGCTACCAGGTGGTCTCCTTATCCTGGGTCATTTGACTGGAAAT